CCGAAACCGTGGTATCTTACAAATGGCACACGTTATCCAATGCCAGCATCTATTTCCGATGACACAGGAATACGCGATGCCAAATTGTTACCCGACGAAGATCCAGGAAGTGATCGTATTTTGAATCAAATGATGTTCGTTCCTCCGAATTACAATTCGTCTCGTAGGAAGGAGATAATGAAAACGATTTTTATGCCTTACATACCAGTTTGGTGGAGTATCAAATTTGATGACAGTACTTTCGTAAATTCAAAGTGCCCAGTCGACGCGTGCAGATTCACAGTTGATCCTAAGGAGAGGAAAACTGCTGATTTAGTTATGTTTGCCAACCAATTTCTTCATTCAAATGAGAATCGCCCACCAAAGCAGTTGTATGCGATGTACTATTCGGAACCACCTTTCTTTACACCTCTTTTGGATCAGCCAGGTAAAAGGGTTTTTGTCAAATATAATTGATTCTTATAAAAATTGGTTCTATCTAATCTTTCTTATGCAAAATTTTCGGATTAGATGCCATTAATTGGACCATTTCATACAGGTAATCCGAATTAGTATGTTTATTGCATACTTTTCCCCATCGTTAATCAATTTTATTGGGTTTCCTTTTCTATTCAAGATACGACAGCACAATTTCTGCTCCGTATAATAAATGGTTGTATTACGATCCTCGAATAAGGCAAAAAGAACAAAATCGGAACTATGCGACGAATAAAACGAAAAAGGTTGCATGGTTCGTTTCGAATTGTGTTGGCGCTAGTAATGGTCGTCTAGAATATGCTAAAGAGCTTCAAAAGCACATTCAGGTTCGATCAAATTTAAGCCAATTTTCACAATAGTGTGTCGTGAATTCAAAGTAACAATTTTCATTCTACCATACCAGGTCGATATTTATGGTAAATGCGGAACTTTAAAATGTCCGCATAATGACAGGGAAACATGTTTTGATATGCTTGATGCGGATTACAAATTTTATTTGGCATTCGAAAATTCAAACTGCAAAGATTACATCACCGAAAAGTTCTTCGACACTGGGCTACAGCGTAATGTCATACCGATCGTGATGGGAGCACCACGTCGCACGTATGAAAAGTTTGCGCCACTTCGGTCGTACATTCATGTTGAAGATTTCGCGTCGCCAAAGCAACTGGCCGACTATCTGCATATTTTAGACCAAAACGATAATTTATACAATTCGTATTTCAAGTGGAGAGGAACGGGCGAGTTTGTAGCGAAAGGGACCGCTCGGAGGCAACTGTTGGGACCATCGCTCTTTTGTCGATTGTGCACCATGTTACACGATGAGCACAGCACCTCAACTCCACGCTGGTATCGCAATTTGAATGAATGGCAACATGGAAAAGGCGTTTGTATCAGGAGCTTTTGGCGAGATATTGAAAGTACTGAACACAGTTAAAGTCCACTCCACCGTCTCTTGGGATGACGACATCAAGTATTGAAAACGAATCACAATATCAATGCTGAAAACCAACCAATTTTGAACTTTGAATTTGACCACTTGTTCATTTTGTCATGACGATAATGTGTGTCCAACATAAATCTTAAGGCGAAAAGTATGATTTCATGTCAAATGGATGTCAATGAAGTCATTTCTATTGAGGTAAGTTTATGTGATTAAAGAGACTGAAAAAAATCACTCTATTGTTGTTTTTTCTGTATGGAATTTCAATTTATTATAATAGCTATACAAAGGGAACGTGTCCATGGAAATATTTACAGATTTAGTTCTATTAACCCTTTGATGCAAATTTTTTTGTTTTTGAATCATTTTGATATATTTTTTGTGCCACGATAAATAGAGAAAGACCTCATACTTAGATTTTTGAAAAATTGCGTATTTGTCGAGAAAATCGGAAAAGAGTCAAAAGTGTCAAATCACTATAAAAGCTTGAAAAAATTAAATTTCATAAAACTAATGATGCAGAAAGTTAAATTGATGTGTTTTGGTCCTACGAGTCCTAATTTGACAATTGAAAAGAATGTACAAACCCACAAGATAAGAGGAGGAAAAATTTGGAATTCTGCTATAATTTCGCATTTTTTTTACAGCAGTACATGAACAGAAAAAACTTTCCATTCAGCCAGCCGATTGTAGCCTGTAAAGTATCAAATGAAAGCTAGTTCATTTCCCTACATTTGTTTCCAAACAAGAATGTAAAAATATTCAGTGGTTTCATAGCTATAGCGTCTGGCGTATCTGGTTACTTTAGGAACCGAAATGTGATAAAGCCCGACGAGAAATTAGCGGAATATCGCATTGCGACTATTCTACGTATAGTCGCAATACGAAAAATTCCGTCGAACACAGCCAACTTCACGTTGGTTGTACGAAGTTTCAAGTCGAAATGTCACACTCGATCCAGTTACAACTTCACATTTATCGCAGCGCGAATAGTCGCAGGGTATTCAGCGATCACATTTTGCGGCAACTTTTATTGTGAATACCTATTCGCATTGCGGGTATCCGCACTCAAAAACGGATATGCGACGGATAGTCGACGTACACCTATTTTACCGCAAATTTCTCGTCGGGAAGGGTTAAAGTGATTATTCATCATCGAATCAGTAGACAACAGACATTTTGTTTGGCAGTTATGAGCTGGAAATCTATATACATATGTACAAATATTGAGTCAAAGTCTACAAAATAAATACATTTTCGCTAAGAAAATCGATTCATTCTAAAAATGGATTTGTCTGCATGATACTGGAGTCTTCGGTGTCAATGAATAAACTGTCTGATGTTAATTGCGGCAAAAATGTTAAATCATTCAATTGATTCGTGATGCTTTCAGCCCATGCTGAATCGAATGGATTGATGTTTAAATGGTCTTCAGAAGAATTCACTGACACTTCTGCATCGATCGTATGCGATCCATTTTCAATAATTTCTTCCGATTCATTTCCTATTAATTCATTTACGTCATTTTCAATATTGAGAAGCTGAGTATTAGTCGGTGCTACAATTGCTATTGCTGGTGTTTTTACTGAGTTACTAGTCGGATGAGATGAAGATGCTGCCATATTTCCGCATGAATTCAAAGGTTTAACAATGGCAGTTGGCATTGGACAAATCGATTCAACTAGTTTTTCAATATCTTCGTTTGTCAATTGAGGCGTTGATTCTGAACCCTCATTGACTGGTCGTACATTTAGTATTGGATCATTTGATTTAATTGGTGTGATAATTTCCAATACCTTCGTGACTGATGGATCCGAATCCACTGAGTTGATCACAATAATCTCTTCATTTGCATTGGCATGAATTTTCGGTGGGAAATCGTTCTCGGTTGACGAAAATCCTATCGTCATGTTGACCGTTTGCAATTCAAAGTTCAGCTCATTGCCGCTTTCATTGCCATTGGACGAATTTTGTATTGTTGCTACGCATTTTTGAACGGTGTCCATGATGTTTTTGGTGGTTCTAGGCGCAGGAATTGGTTTGATTAGTGAAACTTTCGATGTGGATGGTCGATTCTCAATTTGCGATGGAATTACGGATGGGGTACCACCAAACATTGGTGAAATCGATCGAATATTTCGTGTATTCAATAATGTCTCCATGAACAT